AGGGGATCGATCTTGACTGTGTTATTCTAGTCTCATTCTTTGTCTGTGATAAAATATTCTTCCAAAAGCAACTTGTGTGAGAAACATGAACTTGCTTAGAGTTTTATTTGCTGTGAAGAGTCACTATGACCATGGCAACTCTCAGAAAAGAAAGCCTTGAATTGGGGCTTGCTTACAGTTTCAGAGTTTTATCCCATTATCCTCATGGTGAGGAGCATGGTGGTACACAGACAGATATGGTAGCTGAGAGTTCTACATCTGGATCCAAAGGCAGCAAGGAGAGAGAGACTCTGGGCTTGGAATGGGCTTTTTGAACCTGAACACCCACCCCCGACTACACACTTCTTTCAATAAGGTCACATCTACTCAAACTTGGCCACACTCTCAATTCCTCTTAGGAAGTGCCAACCCCTGATGACCAAGCATTCAAATAGATGAGCCTAGGGAGGCTATTCTTATTCAAACCTCCACAGCACTGACCTTGTATAGTTTTCATACAATGGCATCTGCCAAGGCCTCTGCCCTTCTCCCTGGGCATCCTTTCCATGCTTAGCAAATAAGAGTCACCCATGCTTCTCCATGAAAGAGAGTGGACATATTTCATATCACATCTACTTCAACAAATGTACTTACATGTTCTTTTCTGAGTCTTTACACACGCCCTGCCCTTCCAGCTCTAGAAATTCTGGACTTTCTGTTTCATGCAGTGTGGCCCAGCCTCTGCAGCCATTACTGGAGCACATGGGCATTGTCTCCAGAAAATCATGGCTGTTTGCTGACTACTGAAAATCAGACTGTCCAAACATAGGGAGATAGCTGACTAGTAAGGCGTGTTTCACAACCGTGAAGACATGGGTTTGTTCCCTAGTGACCCTGTAATAGAGCCAGGTGTGGGGCTGTGTGGTTTTCCTGTCAGTAGTAAGAAGGGGGAGACAGGAGAACCCTGGAGTCAGTGTCAAGCCTGTCTAGCCTGCTTGGTGAGAATCAGGGCTTTTTAGAAACCTTGTCTAATCAATTCTGCTGTGACACACTTGTAAGAAAGTATAAAAATGTTTTCCTTCACAGATCTGGAAGTGTGAGTTTAAATACTTCCTTCTAAGACATTTTTATTATTGTTGTTATTAATTATTATTATTAGTGTTTATTTGGACATCATCAGGGATGCTTTCTTTCAATCACCTTCATAAATCCCTCTTCCAGCTTTAGAAAAACAGTTTCCTTTTATCAAACTTCCAACTAGATTTTTCTTACATTCTGCTGAATAGAACAGCTCTAGGGTATGGTTTCTCTGTTGCTGCTAGGGAAAGTCTAGGAGACCAGGGGCCATAAGTGAGCTGGGAAACAACTGCCTGAGGAAGAGAAGAGAGATCAGGGCTTCGAGCAGGTCAGACAGAGATCTCTTCTTAAGAATGACATAGGGATGTGGTTTAATGGGCGAGGATTTGAGATCTGATGTCCAACATTGCTGTGTGAAGTGCCCCAGGGGGAACACGGTGAGTACTATGATCACAGGTGGCAGCTCCCCTCCCATGACAAGTTGCAGCATAGTCCAGGAGGTCTTTCCTGAACTCCAGGCTCCATGTTGAATTTACTACATGTTCTGTGATGCTTCCTTTCTATGTGCATTCAGTAGATTTTCAGTCCCAGGAACATATATTATCTGACAGATCTTACTCCTCAACACTTCAGTAGAGTCCCCAAAAGTACTTGTGAGATAAATGTTCCTGGTGATACTGTGTGCATCTCAGAATCCTACCACCATCAGACAGTCAAAGATGGCATGGAAATAAGGAACCAGAAACCAGTGGACATCATGAGTAGAGGCTTCTATTCCTGCCCTTTTGCCCTTCATAGGGATTCAGTATGCCATCTAGTGTCACAAACCCATAAGTCCTGTGACTTTCTGCTCTCTCTTTGCACCTTGTTTCTCTCACAGATACACACTCTCTTAGTTGTGACATCATTGTCAAGGCTCGTACCACACCTGGGCAGTCCTGGTGTGAAGGGCGGTGCTCAGTGGATGGAGAGCCTTTCCTGCAGCATGATAATGACAACAAAGCCACACCTTTAGGAGACCAGAGAAAGGTATTAAATGCCACTCCTATGTGGACAGATTTGGTCCAAGGGCTGGAATACTCAGGGCAAGAGCTCACGAAGAAGTTGGCTAACTCCATTCAAGAGATGACGAAGACCAGTGGTAAGTGCAGGATCAAATACAGAACCAGAAACAGCTGGCAAGAGAGAAAAAGGGCAGAGCACATGTGGGAATCGGATGGTGAGTGTGTCTGTGTGAGGGAGTTGAGGGTACAACCTTGGTCCGACCTTGGAAGCATGTGGAACAAAGAGCAAGTCATGTGGACAAGATAATGATATATAAACCAGTGGTAAAGTCTTAACACTTGAAGAAATGATGGATCTATGAAAGTAAAGCATGATGGTATTGAATGTGGTTTGCAGGTCAGCCCACTTTACAGATGACCATGCTTTCTCGGTATGAACAAGAACAAAGTGTTAGAACCTCCTGGAGATTTAACATCAGTGGAAAGAACACCTGCCTCTTGAACACTCTAAATATGAGCTGGACACCGATTAGTCTTGAAGTGATGAGCACTTCCTAAAAGATCTCATGATAATCCCCACAACAGACTGCTGGCACTGGCTCAAGGAACTCTTAAAGCACAAGAAGGAAAGCCTGGGTTATCAAAAAGCAACTATATCACATATAATAGGCTGGGTGGGTAATTTCCTGGTGGTCTTCCTCTCTGAGATCCAGTGATGACCACGGGGATTCCTCTATCTCACCTCACCTCCCAGTGATCCCTATTAACCAATGATCCAGACACTGCATGGCCTGCTAATGGGCCCCACATCTGCATGCATCACTGAACCTCCAGCCTTTTCTGCCTCACTTGTAGCTGCCCTTCCTCCAGCTCCACATCACTTTGAGAAGCTTCACTATCTTTCTTTGGCATAAATAAACATCACTAATTGAGCCACCATCCAGAAAGTCCTAACCAAAGTAAATGTGTCACATTGTCTGATGGTTCCACAGACGGTTTGTTTTCTTTGTTAATGACATAAACTCTGTAAAGACATCATCCACATAGCTCCACTCCTCTCTCTACTCAGGAGTTATAAACAGTTATTACACATGAGGCCCTCAGGATGCCTAGAGAGAGGTGTTGATTGAGGTGTGTTTATAGCTTTATCCAGAATTTTTCGGATTTTTTTTAAAGAACAAATGTCAAGGGCCGCAGATAACAACAAAGGTTACATCTTCCTTCCAGTTTCTGTCTACCAGGCTGATCCCCAATAACAAAGAATCTGCTGTCACAGCGGTAGTCATCCCTGTCATCATCCTGTCTGTCATTTTTTGCCCTTGCATTTACAAGTGTGTGAAGAGGAAATCTCATCCCCAAGGAGGTAAGGAGCAGGCTGGGGTCTCACTCTGGTTCTTGGTAGGGTAGTCTGCTGAGGACACAGAACAGGTGTTTCACTGGGTATGAGAGATGTGAATTCCAGTCTTCATGCTTCCAAAACAAGGGCCTTACCCACTGAGCCATCCTCCCAGCCCCCAGCATTGACATTTTAATTGTCTGGTTACCAGTCCAATATACTGTCTTCTGCTCAGATGTTACGGCATAAACGAACGGCAAACAGAATTAGCCAGGCAAGCTCAATATCAGCTTTAATAAGGGGAGAAATTACAAAACTACGGTTCCAAAGAAGAGCAGGCAATGAAAGAGAAGGCGGAGAGCACACCCACCAGATTTATAGGTAAACATGCGCCTCAGGGCTACCCGCCCCAAAAGGAAGGGGATTGGTTGGGGCTTCCCCTACACTCAGACAATAGAACTGAACATAACAAGCTTCTGAATGCATCACTTGCATGCACTCCTGTCCTGGCCCTTAGAGGGACCCTTATCATGTACTCATCTCAATCACAACTGCAAAGGTGTTTTCACACAGTCAACTAGGACTGCCTGTCTACTCTTTCTGCCTCGCTTCCCTCTGTGCCACCTGCAACTGAGAGGCTGCTGACCCCAGAAATGGGTCTGTCTGAGAGGGCTTGGATGGTCTGTACTCAAAATCCCCTTCATTTGTCAGAGGTCATGGGTCACTGGGTTACAAGGTAAGCGATGCCTGTCATACTTCTCTCCTAAGGTAAAGGGTTGAGTACTTTCAGACTCAGAGTCTGGAGATTTGACTCTCACTGCAAAACCTTTCCAGACAGAAATCTTCAGCTGCCCGTGAACTGTCCCGAACTGCCACAAGCCGCAAAGGAAAGAGAGGCTCATGGAATCAAATGGAGAGTTACTCAACCAAGCCACCAAATTGTTTTTTCAGGAGAATGAGATCATGACATAGGATTAAAAGCATTTACTAAACCAGACACACCCAAGAGTCAAGAATCTCATTAAAAAGGTGGAAGAAAGGATGTAAGAGAACCCTGTGTTCCAGCCATGACATGGCTGTTGCCCTGCTGAACTCCCACTTGCATGACCCTGCACAAAAGCAGGCCTGTCAGCCTTCCCTTCATGGAGACAGAGGGGTCATGAGGCTCCAGAGATCCCTGAGAATCTATTTGTAGTTAATGGTGCTGTGGAGCGGAAGAGATCGATTTCCTGTGTTCTGCACCTCCACTCCAGACTGCAGGCCTGCTTAGTAACTGGCTTTGTAAAGTTCATCCATCCCTCCATTTCTACAGAGCGACTTTTACACAGCCAGCATCCACACACCCAGGATGACAGCAGCTGTGAAGACAAAGCCTGCCACACTATTCCACTGTCTGCTGCTATCAAACCAAGGCATGATTGAATCTTATGAAAACTGATGTTGTACCAGAGACTTGATCTGGGGTGATGTGTGAGCACGCACACACGCATACACACACTCACACCTATGAGAGAGCAGAGTACCAACAACACAAAGGTCCATCTTGGCGAACCATCAAGTTTTCTTTGGGGTTACTAACAGGGTTGTGGTGAGGAGTTACTTACAGGAGCCGGAACGGATTCACAGCAGCTGCCTCCCTGCAGAACCCACATCAGCTCAGGCAGCAACTCAGGAAACAGCACAGCTGAAACCGCACAGCTTGCAGGCTAGGGAAAGGTCTGGGGTCTTCTCTGAAGCTGCTCAAGGTTTCTCCTTCTACAGCCTGCTTGAGTTCCTTCTAAAACTTCTAAGTTTCACTTTCTCAACCACAGGAATTTGCTTATTTCCTGTTCTAAGCAGCCTCCCCCTGTTCTGAAGAGAGTATTGATGTAAAAGGAAAGACTGAAAGACATAAGTGACTTTTCCATTAAGTCAGAGGACATCCCCCACAGACAGATTAAAGCCCAAAGTGTCAACTCTGCAGAGGACCCATGTTATTTGATTTCCAGTCCCTCCTTTGTTTATAATAAGTGAGATCGTCCTTCTGGTACAAAGTGACAACAGCAAACAGCTTGTTTATGCTTTAAGCTGTCTTCTGCTTTCTTAGGAAGACCTTCTTCCCCCCAAACCACTCCACAGTTTAACACTACTGTCTTTAACCAATGAAAAAAAGCAGAAAGTAGAGCAAGGAAGTGAAGCATAATTAATAAAAACTCGGAGAGAGAAATTAGAGTTCAACTTGAAGATCCAAAAAACAAAGCAGCCAGCTTTTGGGCTATTGAGCTCTTAACCTCGACCTCAGTCAGAAATGGCGTTCCTGCGTCCAGGAATCTCAGAATGAGACTGTGTCTGCCAACTCTCTCCTCCTGTTTTATAATCCTATCTAGGGCTAGGATTAAAGGTATGCACCACTGGGATTAAAGATATGTACCTCCCGATTTCTATGGCCACTAGTGTGGCTACTGGGATTAAAGGTGTGTGTTACCACTGCTTGACTATAAGGCTGATCAGGGTGACTGTTTTACTTCACGATCCCTAGGCAAGCTTTGTTTATTAAGATACAATTGAAATGCCACTACAGGGAAATGTCCATAAATATCAGTTTCAATCATCTCTAGTATCACTCGGAAGTCATGTGGTTCTCCAGAGTAACCTGGGAGCTTCAGACATTCAAATCTGAGAACAAATCAAGTACAGCTACCTGATGTATGAGCACACTACACACAGCACTCTGCTCTAGTCCAGTGCTTCTCAACCTCCCTAATGCTGCAATCTTTTAATATAGTTCCTCATGTTGTGGTGACGCCAACCATAAAATTTAATTCATTGTTACTTCATAACTGTAAATTTTCTACTGTTATAAATTGTAATATAGATATATGATATGCAGGATAACTCATGTGTGATCCCCAAATGTTCATGACACACTGGTTGAGAATCAGTTGCAACCGTGCAGAAGGTTAATGCCTGACTGAAATATAAGTTATATTGTACAAAAAATTATTTTTAAGACATATGGGCCTCACACTCAGGTCTTAACGCAACAGACACTACCTTCAGAGTAATCTGTAAATCAAGGTGTCTTGCTTAGGAAAGGGTTTTGGGGGCTGTCAGTTTCCAATTACTGAATATTATGAGGACTAATAAGAGAAAAGGTTCTGTTTGTTTGTTTGTTTCTTTCTTTTTCTAGACAGGATTTCTCTATGTTGCTTTAGAGCCAGTCCTGGAACAAGCTCTTGTAGACCAGGCTGACCTTGAGCTTATAGAGATCTGCCTGCCTTTGCCTCCTGAGTACTGGAAATAAAGAAGTGGAGGACTACCGCCCAGCGAGAAAAGTGGATTTTTTTTGTTTTGTTTTTTTAAATAATGTAATGAAACACAATTTTTTTTTTTTAGCAAGTACTACTGGACGTGATGGCGTGCTTAATCCCAGTACTCAGGAGGCAGAGGCATGCCTATCTTTATAAGGTTAATGCCAGTCTGGGCCAACAGGGCTACATAACTTCCTGGAGGCATTAGACTTCTGCTAAGCATGTAAAAGCTACAAGAAAACTTCAGTCCTTCTTTAACAATGATTAAAAGTCAATCCAGCCACACCTCTTACTTTTCTTTTTTCTTTTTTTATCTCTTATTAAAATTTATTTTATGTGTTTTGTTTTGTTTCCAAGGATCTTTTTTTTTATTTTTTTAATTTATTTATTTATTAAAGATTTCTGTCTCTTCCCTGCCACCGCCTCCCATTTCCCTCCCCCTCCCCAAATTAAGTCCCCCCCCCCCCTCAGCCCGAAGAGCAATCACGGTTCCCTGCCCTGTGGGAAGTCCAAGGAACCCCCACCTCCATCCAGGTCTAGTATGTTGAGCATAACTGTGAAGATAGTTGAAACCACAGGTCAGCAAGCTAGGTGAACTGAACCTCAAAGAATGAGAAACTCCTTTAGGAAGGGCAGGGCCACAACTTCACTTTTTCCTGAGATCAGAAAAGAGTGGTGGCCACCCTACATAAATCAGAAGCCACGAAGCTTCAAGAGGCACAAACCAAAGGTAAACTTAAATATGCCAATGTGCCGTTATAGCTGGGGACCTCAGGACTCTCTCTCAGTGGTTGAGAAAAGCTCACAACAGCAAGAACAAAAGGATTGGTACAGGAAACCCAACAGAATTTTTGCTAGATACTCCATCTCGGAAGAGCAAAATATATGTTCTTATTTGATTCATGTGTGACAGCCTCCAAGAAGAGCCTTTCCCCCCCTGGGTTTTCTTGTTATTTTGTTTTAATTTGCACCAGGGACTCACTAGTGAACCCTGGCTGTCCTAAAACTCAATGTGTAGCAGGCTGCTCTTGAACTCACAGAAATCCACCCGCCTCTGCCTTCCAAATGCTGGAATTAAAGGGTGTGCCACTATGAAAGATCATTTTTGAGCCAACAAATGGAATTCAAAAAATATAAAGGGTAAGCTATTGTGGAATATTAGTTAAAGATGTATTACGTTCTTTTATGTTGTGGAATATTTGTTTAGTGATGCAAAGATGTGTTGGATTCTTTTATGTTGAATTTGTTTAACTCCATGAAACTGAATTACTTTGCCTAAAACACCTGATTGGTCATAAAGAGCTGAACGGTCAATAACTAGTCAAGTGATGGAGTGGGAAGTCCTTCTGCATATAGTTTGCTTTTATTGGTTAGTGAATGGAGAAGCTGCCTTGGCCTGTGATAAGGCAGAGTAGAGTGAGGCAGGAAAAACTAAACCAAATGCTGGGAAAAAGAAGGCAAGGTCAGGGAGAAGCCATGTAGCCCTGCCAGAGACAGACAGAAGATTACTGCTAAGCCACAGCCACGTAGTGATACACAGACTAATAGAAATGGGTTAATTTAAGATGTAAGAATTAGCCAATAAGAAGCTAGAGCTAATAGACCGAGCAGCATTGCAAATAATCTGTGTGATTATTTCATGTCTGGGCATCTGGGAAAGAACAAGTGGCCTCCCTAGGATAACAAGGAGAGAGAAATAGGTGGGTCTAGCAGGAGAAAAAAATGGAAGAGAAAAGAAGGAAGAGAAGGAGAGAGGACACCAGAGGCCAGTCACCCAGCCACACAGGCAGCAATGAAGTAGGAAGTAAAGAAATGAATATAGAATAGAGAAGGTAAGAGGGCTGGAGAGATGGCTCAGAGGTTGAGGGCGCTGACTGCTCTTCCGAGGGTCCGGAGTTCGGTTCCCAGCAACCACGTGGTGGCTCACAGCTATCTGTGGTGAGGTCTGGTGCCCTCTGCTGGCCTGCGGGCATGCACGCAGACAGAGTACTGTATGAATAATAAATAAATACTAAAAAAAAATTAAAAAAAAAGAATAGAGAAGGTAAAAGTCCAGAGGAAAAGGTAAATGAGATAATTTAGTTAAGAGAAACTGGGAAGGAGTAAATCAAGTTAAGGCCATGTATTCCAAAGAAAGAATAAGTCTCCATGTGTTTATTTGTGGCCTGAGTGGCGGGCCCACAAAGAGCAAAGAATAAAAAAGACTAACTACAGTAGACAGTTGAAAAATATGCTATAAAATAAAATAAAATAAAAATACTATCTACCACAACAGTAATAAATATGAAATCAGTAGCAGGAAAATATGTGGAAATCTTCCAACATCTCAGTGTCAAAGAACATGCTTCCATATAGCTATGTATTAAATATGAAATTTATAGGAAAACTAGGACATATTTTAACTTGAGAAAAAATGAAGATCAGGTTTAAAAAATTCAATGAAAATCTTAATCCTATAGCAAGTGGATAAAGCATATTTGCAGGTGTCTTGGACAAGTTCTGGCAACCCACACTTCCAATAAATAGATAAGCAGGATATTTCTGCAATAGAAGAAAGAATTCAGGCTGATAATCCTTTGGAGCCTGATATTCTAGCTAAAATTCACCTGATATGTTATGAGCACTCACCCCTTCTTATGTGTCACTGGGGCCTTCTAGGTTAGGATGGCAATAAGCAACCACACAGACATGTTGGTGGAAACTCAAGAGAGCATTTTCTAAATCTGAAACTCATGTTGATGAAATCATTTCAAATGTAGAAAAGATAAAGAAAACATAAAGACCTCAGCCCAGAATTAGTTTCAAATTAGTACCTTTTTCGGAGGGGTAGGTCACATCTTGCTTCTTCCATGATCTGGGCAGGACTACAGAAAAGAGCTTCCTTCTCTCAGAATACTCCTGTTCTCATTGCCCCACCTCTACTTCCTCTCTGGTTTGGAAGAGACTCAGGAGAAATATGAACACTCTGCTGTAGGATTTTTCTCACCTCATCAAACTAAAATTTATGAAAAAACAAATGTAATATATTGTGTCACTTGGTATAATTATGTATATTACTGTACTAATATAATACAATATATAATAAAATATATTAACACATAATATATTACTATATATTATTAAATATAAAAATATATTACAACTGTGCCATAGACCATTTGAGAGACACTAGGCAAGTAATGAACACTATGTTGAAGGTAATGATGGAAAAATTATATTCTTACCTCATAAAACTGGAACTTCTGATAGAGAACCAACTATAAAATATTATATTATTCAGTTGAAGGTGAACATGAAAAAGACACTGTGCACATATACCTAAAGACTGTACTGCAAGCAGAATTCCCCAGTGGTGGAAAGATGCAGTAGTGGTTCCCCTGCAGAAAATAAGAATTCAGTTCTGGGAGCATGAGCTGTGACTGAAGGGCATTGATTGGTATGTGAGGCTTCTGGAGAGG